TAGAGCTCTCCCTGCTTCCTGACTCCCTTCTGGTGCCAGTGCAGCCACCCCCTGCAAGGCTGAGCTCGGGGGAAGAGCCTAGAGAAGGAGCTGCAAAGGCCACCCCTGCAAGGAAAACTGGGGCTGGAGTTTCTCCCGGCCAAAGCTTGTGGGTGCAGCAGGTTTTGAGGGCTCTGAGCAAGGACCTACCTGCTGCATGGCGCATGGCAGGAGACAGGCCTTCTGTGTACTCTTTTTTGGGGGTGGGAAATGGCACAAAGAGCCCCTCTTTGCACCACCAGCCCCTCGTCCTGGAAGGATGCAACCGTGCAAACCCAGAGGACCTGCAGGCAGCCAGTGCCGGCACGCAGCTCCCACCGGCAGAGGGCCCAGGCCACCACCTCGGCAGAGTTAATCCACACCAGGGGAGGAACGGCCCACCAAACCAAATTGTAAATACATCTGTGTCCTCCTTCTCCCTGTCACACATTTAAATCTATTTGATCCACTCTAATGGATTGATCTACAAGTTTGTGCACACACATCCTGCTTTGGCCGGGGCGCTGACAGCGCCTCACCCATCACGACCTGTCAGTTCCACTCAGCCTGACCTCTGCCAGGAGCCGCTGGGAACGAATCCAATTACAGGATAAAGGGTTTTCTTCCCCTCCATATGGTCTCCACAACGCTCCAGCTTTATCTTGCCTTAACCCCTTTCCTGGCTAGGGAGCTCGCAAGGCCGGCGTAAGCGGCTCAGCGCACCGGCCACGCGTGGCTGCTATCCGATACAGGGAAGCAAGGTCTTCCCAGGGCAGCCTGGGGGTACCGGGAGGCAGGCGCGATATTCACACTTCCCTCTTTTTCTTCCTGCCTGCGAGGAAGGTCCAGAAGGGAGATTCAGGGTAACGTGTTACAAAGCCGGCCAAAGGCAGAAAAGCAAACTGCATCATTTTTCACTAAGCCTTGGCCCCTGGTAGTCAGCGTGGGAGTTAGGTGCCATGCATTAGTCCACCACGATAATTTAGGCAGAGATGGGAAGGTGCCAGACCCACAGCCAGATCTCATCTTTGGGGCTTCAAAACTGAGTTTCAGTGTCTGCACTGAGATTAGCCCACAGCAGCACACAGTTTCTTTTTGAGCTGAGGGAACCTAGATGAAGGGGGAAGCACTTGTCTGGGGTTTATTCAGGGACGGTGCTGGCAGGGCGCCCCTGTTCCTTTCACGATGGGATTTTATTGCTGCTGCTTTTGCATTTTGTTACACCTTGCTCTGCAACTGGCTCCCTATGCGCCCTTGGGCAAGTCTCTCAGTTCCCCGCGCCCAAAGAAGTGATGCTCAGCCGTGCCCTGCCTTGCACACGGGGATAGGCACAGCAAAGTGCTCCCAGCTCCCACCACCCCAGGGAGCCCAACTCTCCCAGCACACCTGCGTAGCCTGCTCTGTGCATCTCTTGAGCCCAGGGAATGCTCTATTGTCTCGGTTCAAGCTGCCACTGCTTGGTTACGGTTCAAGCTGCCACTGCTTGGTTATCATTATCATTTCTTGCTTTACACAGGACATGAAAGCTCAGACAAGCTCAGGGCTCCATCATGCAACATGCTGACAAACAATGAATAAACGACAATCTCATCTCAAAGAGCTTAGCAAAGCAGAAAATCCTGCAAGAGGAAAGAAAACCTTTTCTTTTCTTAAGGACAAACAAAAAGGAAAAGGGGATTGTTCCCTCACTCTCATTAAATGGGGCCTAGATTTTGCTATTGCCTTCTTTATCTTAGAGTCAGCACGGAAAACAATTGAGAGCTCTCTGGGAGACAGCCGGTAAAGTTTCCTTGCTAAGAGACACCAAATTAAAGCCATCACTTTCCATTTCTGTGACAGACACACAGAGGGAACTGAGGTTGCATTCAGGACACGTCCTGGAGGAACCAGCTATCCTCTCTGGTATCGTTTGCTTCTGCTGAGTTGATTTGAGGCCTCTAGCATTGCTCCGGCTGCTGCTGACCTGCCAGGAACTCTAAATCCATGTCAACGCCAGGCTCGGGGTATCTACTGAAATGCCAGCCTCCACCTGCGAGAGGAGAAAGCTGAGGCTGTGAGGACAACAGGGCAGGGACAGCCTGCTTGGAACGACAACGTGAGTTACGCTTACCTGCTTCGTGTTCAGCTCCCAACCAGAGGAAACGTCCTGGGCACTGCTCCAAGGTCGGGTGACTGTCCTCTTGGTCCAGGTGTCGGCAGTCCTCTATGTTAAAGGTTTCTGGGTACCAAGCATGAAGCCAAGGTTGCACCAAGCCTTAGCTGGAAGAGGAAGAGGAGAGGGCTTGCTTCGGCCAAGGAAAAATCCTCTGTGCAGAAAATACTGCTGATCCTTTCCCCCAGCCTTTCCCCCTACTGCTCCTTTCCCACTGAAAACAACTTTCATTTCTCCTGTTCTTTCCCAGTTATGCTTCATTTGTGCAACTCTTCAGGAGAAGAGGGAACACTACAAAGATGTGGCAGAAAGTCTCAATGGAAGAAACGCTGGAAGGTGAATTTTCGCCTTCCCATGAAATAATCATGTTCACAGACAAAACGCTGGAGAAACACATGAGCTTTCCCATGCCACTAGAACTGACAGTAAGGTCCAAATCTTTCGAAGTTGGACCGCTATGGTGAAATATTTTAGGGGAGCAGAGCTACTCTCTACCATGGCAGCTGGGAATAACATGCTAGGATTGAGATGCGCATCTGGACACGTCTGTTTACATGTATTAACTTTTCCTGTTTCTCCTCAGTACTGAACTAATTCTGTAAAAACATGTCCAAGTTTTGTACATTCAGAAGCCTGACTGTGATCAAGAGAGGCATGAAATACCTCCGGGCAAAGCTTTTTGAGAAGTAAGGCCATGGGAGTTCTCTTCACGAAATTCTTTCCCCCAAGGAAGAGCTTGCAGAGATCCTTGAAAAGACCTACATTGAGAATTTCGTGGCTGGTGATTTCACGAGCGCAGTAATTTCACAAAACATAAAGTGAGATACTTCTGAGTGGCACAGACATCCCATAGGAAGTCCTTATCCCGAGGCACCTGAAGCTGGTATGACCCACTTACTCTTGCCATGTCCTAGTTCTGCTCCTCTCAGACCTGTGCAGATCAGTGGCTAGCGATCAGCATATCTTTCATCCTACCTCATGCCCCTTGGCCTTCTGCTCCTGCCCTCTAGCTCCAAGGCACTCCAGTTTTGCAAGAGACCTCGTTCCTCCAGCAAGACAACGTTGACTTTTTTCATCCACCTTGCCTTGGTGGAGGGCAGCTGTGGGAAAGAGGCTAACAGCTTACGGCATTAACAGATCAGGGCCATTAACGCCACCAGATGTCAGAGATTAATGGAAGAGCTTCACTAAGACGCCTTAGGCAGGTCTCCTGGAGAAGGCGTGCCCATGACCCGGAAGGGAGACTTGGGGAAAGAGCTTGGATGGGATGGGATGGAGCATTGGCACTCTGGGCTAGCACTCACCCTGCTGAGAAGGATTTTATGGTCTTGTGTGTGTTGGGATGGAGATCCCTCACCCCAAATTGTGCACTAAAAGACAGAGGGAAACTTCTGTCCTTCCTGCTTGCTCTCCCAGTGTGGCCACAGGCTGGTGCTAGCTTCTCCTACACCATCTCTGGAGGGGATTCAGGACAGGCAGCATCACTCAGGCTTTCCTTTTCCTCTCCAGGGTGCTCAGGCATTGCTTCTTGAGCAAAGCAGTTGCCAAAATGAGTGGCAATTTGTCAAGCTGGTTTTAGAGCTGTGGCTAAGGAACCTCCCTAAACCCTGCCAATCCTTGCAAAGCTGCGACCCGGATTGGTGTCCCACTTCCTGGGACGGGGAGGAGGCGCATGGGTGGGAAACTCTCACCTTCGCTGCCTGCCAGCTTCCCAGAAGACAGAGACCCCCCCCCCCCCCTGTGTGGTCTGGCTGGGATCCAGATGGAGAGCCTGGCCTGGCCCAGATGGTGTGATGTGGTGTGATCCTCCAGAGAATCGACTGAGAGACCTGGATCCAGCACAGCCCTGGAGAGCAGAGGTGAATAAAACATACCCTTTAGACCAGGAGGGAGGCAAGGGCAGAGGAGGAAATTCAGTCCTTTGCACTCTAGCCCAGGGCACCTGATTCAGGGCATAATGTGGCTGAGATACCTGCCCAGAAAATGATGTGTTTATGGAGATTGCAGCCTTTGGGACAGGACGCAGCTCCCTATCCTGCCTTCGTACAGCAGCGGTCCTGGCTCATGTGAACAGAGCCTGGTTTTGCTCTGTGACTGGGACTCCGTTATCCAAACCAGATGCTGGACTGGGTGCCTCAACCACAGAGCAACTGAACGGCCAGAGCTACGACTCACAGACCCCCAGGACCCTGTGCCCGCCCTATCCACAGCGCTTGGTCCTCTCATCCCCAATGACCAGCTCAAGGCCGGTATGGCAGAGCTGGGCACCACACCACAACCTCCCCAGCTTGAGCCCAAAACACCCCCTCTGGGTCCTTGGGCCACCCAGGGACACACCGAAGGCTGCAATCACAATGGGGAGACCCGTTTCCCCCATCATTTGGCGAAAGTAGCCACTCTGCAACTCGCCACCTCACCTCCTGCCTTCACCCCCTCTTCCAAGGGGCTCCTCACCCCGTCCCTTCCTCCCCCCAACTCCTTAAACAATATTAAACACTTAATGGCAATTAATACGCTTTAATGCAGGTTTTGGGGCCAACTGGCTGCTTAGAGGGTGCTTAAACCATCAACCCCTCTCAATCCCGTTGCCCTTGTCATCCAAAGTTAGCCTAGCCCCTAATCCGGCCTCCCCCCGCGCTCCCTCGAGGAGGCCGAAGGGTATAAAACCTCCCTTGGCAGGTGGGCACCGCCAGCCCTCGACGCAGAGCGGGGACCGCGCACCACCCCCTCGTTCCTTCGGGATTTACCTCTGTCATTGTGTATTTGGTTTTTGGAACGAGGGTGGGGGGAGGGATTTTTTTTAATTGGGTATCTTTGAATATTGGAGGACTTTTTTTTTTTTTTGGTAAATTGGGGTTGAAACAAAATTAATTAAAAAAAGAATAAAGCAGAGCGTTTGATAAAAAACAAACAAAGCAAAGCAGCTGCCAAAATATCGGCAGGATGAATGGGACGGAAGGTATCAATTTTTACGTGCCTATGTCCAATAAGACAGGGGTGGTGCGAAGCCCCTTCGAGTACCCCCAGTATTACCTAGCCGAACCCTGGAAATACCGTGTTGTGTGTTGCTACATCTTCTTCCTCATCTCCACCGGGCTGCCCATCAACCTCCTCACCCTGCTTGTCACCTTCAAGCACAAGAAGCTGCGGCAGCCGCTCAACTACATCCTCGTCAACCTGGCGGTGGCCGACCTCTTCATGGCCTGCTTTGGCTTCACGGTCACCTTCTACACGGCCTGGAACGGCTACTTTGTCTTCGGCCCCGTTGGCTGCGCCGTGGAGGGCTTCTTCGCCACACTGGGAGGTAAGGGCTGCGGCACAGGGGCGCGCTCTTGGTGACAAGGCTTGGCAGCGGGTCAGTTTATTCCCACAGGGATTACGGAGGCC